GTGGGAGTCCCAGGGGTCTGTCTGGGGGTGGGGGTGTGGATAAGTGTTGGGGCAGTCAGGGGACAAGAGGCAGGGAGGCTTAGATAGGGGATGGAGTCCTGGGGGGCGGTTAGGGGCAGGGGTCCCAGGAGGGGGCAGTCAGGGGACAAGGAACGGGGGGAGGGTTGGGGGTTCTGGGGGGGCCGGAAGTGGGAGGGGCAGGGGCGGGGCTAGGGCGGGGCTCCTCCCGTCCTCTTTTTTGCTTGCTGAAATATGGGAACCCTAACGGAGCCCCCCTACCAGATTTGGGTTGGGGGAGAAATCTTGGGACCTCAGTCTTGGACCAGGCTGGTGGGCTTCTGCCCAGCAGGGTGGCGGGTCTCAGGGCTTTAGCAGGAGTGGGGCTGAAGACCTGAGCCCCAGCAGGTGCCTGATGCTCCTGCTCTTGATTGTTGTATGCGGCTCAAAGCGTCAGTACATTTGGCCACCCCTGGACTATGGCAATGGCAGACTAGCAGTGCAGTTAGTTCACTCTCCTCTCTGGGTTTTTTTTCCTACTTAACTGTGGATATTCTTATGTCCATATTAAGTGTTAAATTCTATCACTTTGTCAACTTCAATGGCAGAGACTCTTCCTATCTGGTACAGGGAATTATTTGTGATGCTTCCTCTGGTGCCAGGCACTTATTACCAGACAGCACACACCATCAGACACTCACTGTGTCCACATGCCAAACAGAAGAGACATGCTGCATTCAGGGACCACAGAGAAAGCTACAAACAGCACTAATGAGTATATTGGGAAAACATCTCTGTCCTTGATGGGGACAAGGATTTTTGCACATAAAAATATATGGCCTATTATATACATCCAGTGTTTTCCTAAGCAGGCATGTCAGACTACTTGAGTCTAAGACTGCACAAGAAATTCACATCAGTATTAAGATATAACCTATTTCTGTCAAACAGAATATAACACCTACATACAAAGAGCTGCGGTTATGGGTGATCACTCAGTTGGCTCCTTCCTCTCACCCTGTATTAATGTAGGTTTTGCATGGAATACAACAGACACAGACTCAATACAGGGAGCTTTGCCAAAACTTATAGTTTTCTTCACAATGCAGGACATTTGTCATTTAAGTTTTGTTATGTATTTTGCTATTTGAACAACTTTGCCATACACAGTTATTAAATATTACATTTATTTTTTAATACGGTGATTCAATTTGGTTGAACTGTATGCTGAATGAGTGGACTCTGAGGCTAAAATTTTTAAATGTGTGAATTTTAACAACGACAAAAATAATACTATTATTCTCCTTCACATATAGCTTCCAGGGATACTGTGCTCACCATTGTTAAATGAATATTTACCACAGTATGATATTAACTTTACTGCATTGTTTGTGATTTCCTACTGCTGCTGGGAAGCACAACGAACACAATGAAAAGCTTAGCTACTGCAAGCGCTGTCTAACGTTCAATGGTACTCACTTTGCTTTCTCTCTCCATTTAAAGCTGAATTCAAATTTCAAATCAAAACCTGACAAAAAGGGTTTTCAAACTAACATGGACAAGCCGGTGTTGAAATGTGAACCAGCTGCTTAACACAAAACACTCCTATCTGCTCTCAGAGGGCCACTCGCTCAATGGAGAGAGAAGAGTGACAAAAAAGATACCCACCTCTACAGAACTCAGGGGCTTCTGACCATGTTGAATTCTCAAGACAAGTAATGACAGGTCTCAGTTCGGTGCTCTCATATCCTGGACGACAGACATAACTCACAGTGGTCCCAGGAGGACTGTAATTCTTCGTCGCATCTTCCGTACTTAAGGCAGCAGATTTTAACCTTGGTGTGGCACCACAGCCACCTAGCAAAAACAAACGAACAACAAACAAAAACATGGTCTGAAAGATTTAGCTATAAAGATAGGCATAAAAATTGTACTTTTAGCTTTATGTTTATAAATAAACACACACACACACACACACACACACACATATATAATTTAAAAAAACAAGAAACAACAGCTCTGTAACATAAGAGAAGGGTACCAAACAGGTACCCTGCCCCAAAAGTGTATGATTTAGAGATAGGGTGACCAGATGCCCCATTTTTAAAGGGACAGTCCTGTTTTTGGGGAATTTTTCTT